CCACCTTCCCCGGACTTGGCCGCAGAACTTTTTTTCTCCACCCTGTTTTCGGATGGCGGTGCTGGACTGCGTTCCGTCCTAAGCAACGAACCGTTGCCCAAACACATGCAGCTGCTGCGCATATCGCTTTATGTACCTGCATTTTTAAAGCGCCTGCTTGCTCGCCTCGCGGATTTCTTTCTAGGCAAGCCTGTTGCCCTTATAGTTGGCTCGTCGATCGGCTGCCATTCCAGCGTGTCTGTCCTAGAGTTGCGACACCGGATTGCGAAATACGAGGAAGCCTTTGCGAAATCCATTTGCAGCTCAGATACACCGTTTGATGTTATCATCTGTCCAACCTTTGCCTTTCCGGCCCCTCTTGCAAGCACTGCGGAGATATTTCTAAACACATCACTTCTCTACACAGCCCTCTACAACTTGGTTGATTACCCAGCTGGCGTTGTACCCGTGGGCGCTGTCACGCCGGAAGACGTAAAAACGGCGGTTAAGTTGAAGGAGGACTATCAGCGTTCTGGAGATCGTATAAATGCTGCGCTGGCGAATATGCAAATCGGCAGTGAAGGCCTTCCGTTAGCGGTGCAAGTTGTAGGCAGACCAATGCAGGAGGAACTGGTTCTGAGAGTCATGAAGGAGATTGAATCTGCTGCTCACTTTTGATGGTAGGCAAAGAAGAGGCGACGGTACCGTATTTTCCGCCTTCGGCACCTCGTTTTATTGCCTGTGTGTTGCTGCAGTCAATTGGACAATTGGACTTCATATGTTGTCATTTGCCCCGTGTTTTTTTCATGTTAACTTTTTAATTCAGCTGTATTGGCTTTTGTACCTCCATTTAAATGGCTTTGACTTTTAATGGCTCTGCCTTTTTTGCGCGTACTTTTTGAATTCAGTTAATATTGCCTCTGCCGATAACTGCCGTTGGGCGCGAGTATTACTTTTTATGTCTGGAATTATTCTGTCATATGCGCATTCGGTCCTCGACGTTTCTTCGTCAGTAGTTGTGAGAATCCGAATATGCAACTGTTTGTTCCTCGTCGCTCTCTCTCTCTCTTTATATAAGCTGTCGGTTGTTGCCCGAGTTTTTATTTTAAAAACCTTTGCTCAATATTTTCGGCCTGAATGTTACGGTTTCTATCGCTTTTCGCATTATACTAACCGGCAAGTTACGGACCACTAATGTTACAGTCTTCACGAACGGTGTCGTTCAGTTTGGATGCCCTCCTGCCAACTTGGCGATTAAATAGGGAGAAATGTCGAGTGTGCCGACGTTATCTCGACTCTCTGTTCCCCGCGGTCTTCGTTAACCAAGTTGGCTGTTCTGTTTAAGTCTGCGCGTGATCAGTGGGTGCCTTCAGTTAAGATTTAACCTCACCAGAGTCTGTGTAAGGCACAGCCAAACGATATGTTGCACGCATGTAGTTCGTAGGGTTATGCGAGACCTAATCCGAACTTCTTGTGCGACGCTGCGTCTGTTGCTACGCTGCATCTGTCGCGCGTACTTACACGAGTCCTAGTAGCAGGCTAGTTATCGATTAATCACTGATATCCAAACAGGCCAATCAACTTCAAGGCTGCCCTAAAGTTATCGAGGTGTGCTAAGACTAATATAATAACCCTAACGGCTGAGATCTTACAGGCTCGGTTCCTTAGGAGAAGAGAGAAGTTAGGGGAAGGCCAGAGCGGTAGAGAGAGTATATACATACAAGTCTGTGCAGGTGAAACCAGAGTATATTTTGCACAGAATAGATGGGAGAATAGGCAGTAGGAAGTTGACTATCAGACGAACGAACAACTGCAAGCCAGGGGACGGCGTCTGCACGTCGGTTTGAGCTAGTCACGACAAAAGTTCACAAGTGAACTTCGCTTGGAACTAGTCACCTCTATCTACCGCTAAATTGTTACAAACTGTTCTTCAGTCCCTATCTGCAGAGTACAGTATTCTCAACCGGCGTTCAGCTTAACCTCTTCCTATTCGGGACCAGGTCTGAAGTTCGTAGTTGCTAAGCTATTCTTAGAGCTTAATCTGCAGTGACAGTATAATCGTCACCATGGCTACACGTTACTGTGATTGGGTAGGCGTCTGTATTTCGTCATTAATTTCGGAAACGATACCTTAGGCAGGATCTATACCGAATTTTTTTCCCCTTACTCTAATGGCTCAGTTTACTTTTGCCTGTCTATTCTAAACTGGATATACTTGAAAAAATACTTATTTGCTTGACCGTCATGAACTAGCGGATCGTTGAAACCGTAGAAACCTTCCAGGAGGAGTTAATTATATCGATATAAATCGAACTCGTATCATAATGATTTATACAAGCAAGGTTCAACAGTTCAACCTGATCGGGACGCTGGTAGTAAATGCACAGTTGAGAAAGGTGTGCGGTAATATTTGATGACATACTTGGGGCTTCGACCTTCTGATACTGTTCTCGCAGGCATTACGAACATCGAGGAAAAGACGATTCGACCGCTGGGGCAACATCGCTTATCAATAACGCTGGAGGAGTTTTGAAGATTGCCACAGTCGCGGAATGTCATATAGTCTGGGGGCTGATTTCAAAGAATTGGTTCTATGACAGTCTACTGCTAAACTTTAAAGAAAAAAGGTTGACTTAGACGATTGAAAGTTCTAAAGGATGTCTGCACAGCTGTTACGAAAGTTTATAAGATCCCCTAAGTAAGCTTCTAAGAAAATTTTTGCCAACCTTTAGATCTCAGCAAAGCTGCTCGTTTATAACGATATCTACGCTTCAGCTATCGTTTTGACTTGTGTATGTGTTTGGGACAAGGCTTGAAATTTTCCCAGTGCCTGGCACGGTCCTAAGACGTGACACTGTTGGCGGATAAATGTGTGCCGTTTGGCCTTTCTAGTTCGATGGTTTCCTATGGCTTCTGCGTCACCCCTGTCTTGTGGACATGAAATATTGGTTTAGGCAAATGCATGGTGGGGGACTGCCAGCGGTCGTTCCCAAAAATGTCTTCAGTAGGTGAAAGGCAGGCACTACAGTAGTACATCTCGCACAAATCGAGAATTCCTTGTAGTGTAGTTCGGTTACCGTCTATTTGTTCCAAACACAGCCATAATCACAGCAGCCTAAGGGCTTTTATATGGTGGTTGTAGCTTTCTCTAAAGCACATTAAGTGTGACTTTGTTTTGCGTCAGAAAGGTACACGGGCTCAGAAATGAGTAGGTAAGTAACAAAGGGGTATGGATTAATACCATAGCTAAGCGACCTGCGGTCATTATGTGAATGTATTGTAGAGTAATAATAATCGTCTTTCAGTTTTTCTGCACAGAATGCACTATCCTCTCAACCGACGTCCAGTTTAACCTCTTCTTATTTGGGAACTAGCTTGACGTTCGAAGAGATTAGGGTCTTCCTATAGCATCATCTGCTTTGAAGGAGTTAGGAAAACAGCATGCCTATACAGTATACCACGCATTAACATACCCACGGTTTACATGATCTTCTTACATTACCTTCACGTACACTGGCATAGCGTGACTTTCCTGGGTTTATTCAAAACGCTAATGAGGTCTGCCTGAAAACCAGCTAACCCGACAGGGAAGCTGAACCACTAAGTACAGTGGTCACCTCGTACTTTTATACATCCTCTGCCAATTTGACGATTGACAGCACAAGTAGGAGGGCAAAAGTAACCATCTCCTAGATGTAGGAGAATTGTGCCACAAACAACTCAAACCGACTCCCCTTCTGTTTTGCCTCGTAATGCAGGCACAGGTGTGTGTGTGTTCGACCATCGATTTCGATGAAGTCCACCAACTGAACCA